CATTAGTTCAACCTCTGCCTCATCACTTTTTTTTGAGAATGAGAAGCCCAGTAAAACACTTCAGTTACCTCAAATACGTTTGTGTGTCACTGAAAACTGTCAGCTATTTATCAGAAAAGTTCAAAAAAGGCACTGAAAAGTGAACAGTTCAGTCATCGCAAACATTCAGTAAACATGTCTCTTTATTCATTATCTGTTTGTTTTGAATACTTAGAGGTTTTACTCAGCCGTTTGTATTTTTCTGTGTAAATTGCTGACACTCTAACTATGACTTAAATGACAATGTGACATTAATTTCACAGGATTTACACTCATTACAAATGAGGTCATGTAAAACTGGACACAACACTCCAAAACACACTTTCATTACTTATTATTTTCAAGGTCACTTGTATGTTTTTCTAACTTCAGAAGCAGTCTCCTGCCCCAAGACTTTGGATTATGTTATTCTGTTTACTCCTACATTTATGGAGGTGTCATGTTGTCAAATGGATTTGATATATATTTGTGTTTTGTTTTAAAGAACAAGGAGGAAACTGAAAAAGATTATATAGAAAGGAAAGAATGATGGATTCCAAAGCTTTTCCAGTAAAAATATAAATGGTAAAAGGAAGTCAATTGCACAGGGACACGGTCAAAAAAAACACAAAATGTACTAAACCATTTTTAAAGAAATCATCAGTATGCAGATGCTAACAATTTGTATTAAGCTGATTCCTACATGCATATAAATAACAAAGAGTCAAGAATGGCTAAACAAATGGAAGACAAACTGGACAGTCAAGACAAAAGTAAAACACAGTGCAAACACACACCTGTTTTTAAGAATCAAGGTGTGTGTAGTAGGACCAAAGCCTAAAGTGGGACCTGTACACACTCTGATCTGGCTTCTCTTTTCTTGTCCTCACTCTTCTTCATTCACCTTTCTTAGTTTTCACTTTTGTGAGTGAGGAAGGAAAAGAGGGAGCATCAGACGTGTTACAGTAAAAGCAGCATGTGTTGTGTCCAGAAGCATAGTGTTGCTTTCAGAGGAGATTCTGGCAATTACAGAATATCTTTTATCAAGCAAAATGATAAAAATTGGTGTTTTTTTAACTTGATAACAGTTCCATTTATTCAGGGTTTGTTCGGTCACTTTCAGAACAGTTTCACAAGCAGAAATGTTTTAGATGTTTCTTTACCCAAAGAGGACTTTGTAAGCCTGTTCTAAAACCATGAAATATAAAATGTTTTGAGATCATTTTCACTGCATTTTGTGGATTAAATCATATTTGTACTATTACTGGAGCAGTGTATGTTTGTTAGCTTGTATTATACACTTTATTGACTGGTACACAAATTACATAATTTACAGTTTGCGCGTTTTTCATTATTTAGCAACTGTTTTCAAATTTAAATCTTAGTAAATGTACATTTCCACAAACTGTAAACACAAAATGTAAAGTATGAAATTCTTGACAGTTCAGTGTGTGTGTGTGTGTGTGTGTGTCTGTGTGTGTGAGAGAGAGAGTGTGTGTATGTTTTAACATGATTAAATTCACTGCAATTTCCATTAAAAATCACCTTATAGACTGATTGATTCACCATGTTTCATCAGTTTTAAAGTCCTGTTTTTTTTTTTAAACTATTAATTTCAGTGAGTGTTAAAAAAATCTTCACATTCTCTTCCTGTCACGTTTCTACAATCTTTAGTAACAAGATCATGATCAGAGCAGTGTGGCTTTAATTCTTACCTTCCAAACATGAGTAAAATTGATAACATTCAGTAGAAATTTAAGATTAATCTCCTTTCATTTACAGTTTGGGCATGAGTCAGACATCTACGGACACAAACAACAATAAAATGTTTAAAATAAATTCTGAAAAAGGACCTTGGTGGATAACCAGCTGGGTTAACGTGTGCCACAAGGGAAGGAATGTTTGTAGATTAAAATAAACTTTTAAAGACACATTTTCAAGGTCAGATGTACATTTTCACAGTCTTCAGGAACAGCCAAACTTAAAACCACACTTTTCTGAACTGTTTACATCCAGGTGTTTCAGTCTTTTCTGCTCCATTATTGTTTTAGGTCTTTTTACCCACTGATTACAGAGGTGCTAAAGACAACAGTAAAGCTCAAAGGAGAAACTTTTATAGATTCTACAGGGAAAATTATTTGTTTTAAACTTCTTCACTTATTATTTTCAATAAAATTTACAATACAAATATCAACAGAACACAATTTATTTGGGATTTGATATTGGTAAATTAACAAATTCACTTTCCTTTTCCTGCATGTTTTCTGCACTGCGCTCTTTCCACAATAGCAGGGTCATGATCAGAGCAGTGCTGCACTGACAGTCTGAACCCTCAGCTGTTATACTGTTGATGATATATAGCAGCTGCATATAAGTATTCTTTATTTTGCTGTAGTTTGCAGCTTGGATATATACAGGAAAAATAACAATGTAGCCAAACTTACAAACAAAACAAAACAAAGCAAAACTCCAAAACCACAACATCTGCATATAAATGGGAGCACGGCACAGTTGGTTGTTTTGTCAGTAATGATATAAGTCTGCTAATATTCACTACAAATGTAGTTATGTGGCTGTCACTCAAACAACTGGGCATTACACAGATCATGCTGATGGTCAGTACAGTAACTAAAGCAGAGAACAGGGGAAAATATCCTACATACTCCTACAAAGCATCTATTAAAAATCATTACAAGTTACAGAAAATGCCCTTGTATGTCTTAAATCCTTTTTTAATGCACTAAAAACAAAATTTTGCTTTACAATTTCTCTTAAAAGATTAGAACTGCAGGTGAAATCAGTTCAGTCATAAGTTAAAAGACACGAATGCAGATGAAATTAGATTATCTGCACTGTAATTTTAGATACCACATGTTTATTTATCTGTATGATTATCCTTGAAGGTGCAGTTCAGCCATTTTGTTAAGACCATTATCGGTTTGCTAGTCAGTCTAGTGAAGACTGTTGCTGAGGAATAGCTGAATGATTAGCCTCATTAATGCTGTTGTTAATCAGGGCTAGATGTTTTTCTTTCTATGTCTACATATTGGAGTCTTAATTTAGGCAAAAATGGTTATAAAAGTCTTGGTTTCTTAAGCAGTGGAGCCTCAGTGAAGCCTTACTTGTGTGACAGAAAATGGCTGACTGTTCAGCTCCAGAGCAGCAGAGCAACACTCCTGCCTCTCACAGGCTCTTTGTCAGAGAAGCTTGTGCTAAAGATGTTGATGTCAAACTATTACAAGTTAAAAATCGATGGTATTTTAGAGAGTTCATGCCATAAAAGAGGGGAATTAGACTGAGGAAAATGCATCTTAATACAAATAATCCAACTGTATTATTACAATTGACTCAATGCAGTGATTTTGGGGGTGGAAGGAGAAGGCAATTTATATTTGTTCAGTACATTTCATTAGAAGAAAACTCATTGTACCTTACATTAAAATACATAAAGACTAGTAACATGTGCACAACATAACAATTGCATGAAATCCAAGGAAATATGATATAAAAGGAAAAGAAAAACACCAGTCCATCAAAAACTAGTGACAAACCCTGCATCTGACCACAAAATGCATAGATTCACACACAGAAGATCTTATTTTGGGGCTGATATAAATCACTAGGAGCAATGTTCACATTTGACACTAAAAAGAAAAAAATATTAGATTGATAAGGTTTGTGAAATGGGAATGGTAAAATAAAAATGTTGCAAGTTAATACTTTAAATATCAGAGTCAGACTTTATTCAATTACAAATTTGTTTAGGTGCAGATTAGAAAAGTAAAATGAAGATTATAGCAATAAAATAGGAATTTAAGACTAGATAGCTGAAAAGACAACAAAAAAGGTGTTGTAAAACAGCTGTAAGTACTGTGTTATGATGTAATATACAAATATGCATTTGCACAAAAGCAAAATATACAACTAAGTTTACACTGGAATTCAGATTCTGTGTGACAGTGTGTGCACAGTCATGTTGCCTGATGAGTCCAGTGCAATCACTGGTTTAGATTAAGTGCAAATATTATTATAATCATGTGCCAGTGATCACTGACTGTAGTCTTTAAATTAACTACCATTCACTTTATAGCATCACTGTTATGTGTAAGTCTTCTGTGTTTTTCAGAGTAATTAAAGAACAGATAGTTGAATGTGTGGAGTTGTGTGTATGTTGACTCCTATTCACCTTGCATGTAGATTCCTGTGACATTACCTTTCTTCTTTTTTTTATGTCTGTGTGCATGTGCACATTAACATGCTGTACACTCTCCTTCTGATATTTTCTTGTTCCTTTACATATATTTATGCATTACTTACTGTAACAGCAGCACATGCAGAGTCAGTCTTGCCAAAAAGCAGACCTGTGAGCAGTGTGTTCTGTGGGACTAAGGGTTTGAGAAAAGCAGGACACCCACTGGTGGTGTCCCGCCCCAAACATCCCTCTTACCTACACTGACAGACTGGTGTTTTGTAAGCACAGGCCCTGCTTCAGGCAGAATATTTTTGAAATATTCTTTTGTACAGTATTAAGGATGGGAAAAGTAACAAGTCCAAGATATCAGTCATTTCTTGCATTATACAACCAGACAGGATTACTCAAACCACAAAAGGGAAAATAATAACAAAAGGAAAAAGAAAGGAAAAAGTTACAGTCTTGTGCCTTATAGATAATTTACTGGACTCATTCTAGTTCATTATGTTAACTCATAACTGGCCATAGCTGAGAACCAGGAGGTTACACTACAACTACAGCCTTGTAGAAATACTTTAATAAGCTCAATCCATCCTTTCCAACATACAGCATTTAACTTTTTTTTAAACATCTTTAGATATTTTTCTTGACATCTTAGGTCCCTTGCATTTGCCCACACTCAGTAGAAATTTAAGATTAATCTCCTTTCATGTGCCTGCATGCCACAGAAAGTGTGTGTAGTCCCTGCTATTTCTGAATCTGCCGTTTTTCTTTTCTTTTCTACTTTTAGGACAGAATTGATGGTTTTAAGAAGAAATAGAATGGAAGTAAAACACTTGATGAAGGATAAGAAGCAGCTGAAAGGAAAAAGGAAGGCCCTGTCAGGGAGGGAGGAGGCAACGGGATGGGCAGCAAAAGATCTTGGCTCAACTGACACCTTTTTTTCAAGTAGCACCACCCAAAACTGTGAGAGTCAAGCTGGTTTGAGTGAGGCACACCCGTGTCCTGCACTCAGAACCGGGGAGAGTCATCTAATCACAGCTGTGAAAGGTAAATGGGTGTGACCTTTAATTGCAAATGTATGAATGAGTTTTCCTCCTGTTGAAACTTTATCATTTCAGTTGAAAGCAAAAGGTATTTATAATCAAAAACATTGAAATAATCACACTTTATCACTGCAGAATCAATAAGCAAAAGCCTTAATTCAAGAACTTGTTGTATGTAAAAACTAGACACTCATAAAGGTAACAAGTATTATTCACAGCTAGCTCTGCCTCATTCAACCTGTCTAATTTAGGTTCATATTCTGTGTTACATTGATATTTAGTTTGTCTACTCAAAATGTATGGGCAGAGAAAAAGGGAAGTAGATGGGAAAAGCAAGCAGAAAGGTGGAGAAAGAAAAAGATAAAGGCTGGTCAAGTTCCAACAAGCGCAGTACAGATGCAAAGGAATCAGCACACCTGCTTGTACCTGGTTTTAACCACCTTGTATTCCTTGTCAGGATTTTTGACATTTTGACCATTTAAATGCACCTTAAAAGCAGCAGAATAAGTGAGTTTTTTAAATCACCAGAGTCAGAGTCAGTGCAGGCCGATTAATTCCCACATCATTTGTGGAGAGGATGTGTGCAAACAGCACACTTACAGATGTTTCAGTCAATTCTGGAGCAGTGTTTGAATCTATCCTCACCAAAACATTTGATGGATCCAGTGTCATAACTTTTAAAGGTTATGTAAAGTAGCATTAACATTAAACTAGCTTAATGTTTCTCAAACCAAGGAGCATGTTTCTGTAGGGAACCTTAAAGGGACTTGAGGAGCTCCCTTTTGAAATGAGGAAAGGTTTTGTTTACTAAATATTAAAAGTAACACTACTCTCCGTCTCACATCTCTTGTGAGCAGTTGGACAAAAAAATAACAGAATGAACCTGTTCTTAAAGACTGGCGAGCCTAAATCAGCCACATGAACATTATAAACATCAGTTGGACATGTCTTTACTCTAGTCTGTTAGTCTGTTGTCTCCTGGAACTGTTAATGTCTTGACCAGAGTTTGTCTGATAGAGGATTTTTGATGGTCAGTAGCAAAGCGAGTATTTCAGGATAAAGTTGCTGATTGCTTGCACCCAGTTGCCAGTCTATTAGGTATGCCTAGCTAAATCTAATGTGGTCTAATACAAGTATCCTGATATATATCCTCCCTTCATGAAGGTGATAATGTTCAGTTTTAGTTCAAACTCTTTCAAAGGTATGGATTCAACTGTGTGATCATTTTGGAGGCTGTAGTGTGTGATGCTGTTGAACTGCTTTATACAGAGGTGTTTCTGATTTAATCTTACACTCACTGATAGAAATGAGCAGGACAAAATGTTATACATACTATATGCTTCATCGACAACACAAACACATAGTTGAATCAACACCTTTCTAAAAAAAAAAGGTTTGCACCAAAACTGAACATTAAAGCAAGAAGGAATGCTGATCTAGAGTGATTTAGTCTCAGCTTGGTGTACCTAATAAACTGGCAACTGATGTTTGTTCAGTCATTTACAGCAGTTATGCAGTCAGAAGCAGTAAAACTTTTTTTTTTTAACCAAAAATGATGAAATAAATTTAGATGTGCCTGGGAGCAGGTTTTGCAGAGTAATACCCTTAAAAGCTGCTTCAGTAAAATCATGTCCAAACCTCCATCATACAGTATATGAGGCAGATGACACTAACAGGCTCATCCAGTGGTCATTTAAAGGCCAGCATCAGACAACACAGAAGCCTAATGTTAATTAAGAAAGCATGGTAACTTCTCAGACACCCAGTGTGTACAGTATTTGTCAGCATGTTACAAGCTTGTCTTACTGACACAGAAGTGAAATGTCGAACACAGCAGGCATCTCAGTGGAACGTGCATCAGTTTAAGAAATTTCCAGCAGGGGTGGGGAGTCATTTACAGGCTCCTGTACATGAAATATCAAGCTGCAGATTAAACATAGAATGTTATATGAAATGTAAATTTGATGCAGTATTGATCACAAATATACAACCTCAATTCAGAACATTTGAACACATTATTCAACACTATTTTAAAGTTTTCAAGGCTTTATTTGTTTTGCTTAAAGTAGCGTTCATGTGGTGGTTTAAATTAACAATGTACCAGCTTTACTACCTGTGTGTGTGTGTGTGTGTGTGTGTGTGTGTGTGTGTGTGTGCGCGCGTGTATGTGCACATTTGCCATGTTCAACCAATGAAACTGAGAGAAACAGTTGTTTAAAAATATAACAAGTGCATCTCAGGACACACATAAAGCCACATTTATATTTTAATACATTTTATTGACTAAAATGAGATCTGCTTTATATTTTAGGGTATGTAAACCAGTAGTTTTAGCTTTGTGTTAAAGTACGGGGTGTTAAGTTTGGCAAATTCACTCTCAGAGTGAGAGAATACCAGTTTATGATTTAAACATTCCCCTGCATGTTTATGAAACTCACAGTAAGGTTGAATGAGCCCCCTAGTTAAAAATTCTACTGATCTGTTTTGTTCATTTCACAGCGACTTTAACTCTTTTTATTTGAGATAATTAGATGAATTTATAGTTTATATGTTCAGAGATGGTTTTTGAAGTAGGTTTTGACTATAACTCAAGCTGCTTATGTTAAAAATACATTGCAGAAATGTATAGTGCTGTGTGTGTGTGTGTGTGTGTGTGCGTTTGTGTCCACATTTTTTGGAGTGTAAGAGTTTATCATTTTCAAATGTGTATGATGACAACTGTGTCGGTATATCTCTTGTGTTTGTGTGTGTGTGTGTGTGTGTGTGTGTGTGTGTGTGTGTGTGTGTGTTTCCAAATCAGCACAAGGCGAAGTATATGTTATTTTACTGTGTCTCTTTACTTTATATGTGTGAGCATGTGGGTGTTACAAAAATTTTTACTTTATGATTTGTAATGTCATCTCCATATTTTTTCCTGCAGGATAAGCAGGATGATGTGACAGCAGCCACATGCACCACAGCTGTGCACATTCACCACTGTCTACTCAGCTGGATATAATGTGCACACATACAGGTGAGTATATATTGTATGTTTCATGTTATATGTGTTGCAAAAACAAATCACGACAACCTACGTATACTGTGTGCTGTGTCATAACACATACCTGCACAAATTCTACTTATGGACCTATTTCTGAAAAACTATAAAATGTAAATTGATGAGACAGTAGATGATGTGTAAATATATACAAACTAAACCTTATGTTTTAAAGATAGAAACTTGGTAGAAGACTAATATTTTAAATCCTTATACACAGTACAAATTACTGTTGGGAATTATTTGTTCCCAGTTTATGAAATTACATTTTAAAGTTGCTAGTGAGTGAAAAATGATCATGTTTATAAATGTAAAATGCTAAAAGGTTTTCAATAAAAGCCTATATATTTTTGCAAGAATTGTATAGTTGTCAAAACCACTGAACATTGTCTGTAATGTTTCAATCATCTTTATCAGTCACATTTCAAAAGTAACAGACATGGAAATATGAGATAAAAGGTTCAAATGTTAGACGTTAATAAAGAAGTACTGGTCTGAGTTTTTGCTAAAATATGAGGAGACTCCTTTCTCTCCTGTGTGTCCTCAGATGCAGCTGCTGTAACGTTGCTGTCGTCGGAGGATGAAGCGTATGTAATAAAAAAAAGAACATATAAACCTTAACAGTAGATGTTAATGTAAATGTGTAGTAATATTGTTGAGAGTGTGCACCGAACCTCTGTCCGATGTCAGATAGTTTCTGGGTACGACTCGCTCAGCAGATACTTGTAAATGGAGCCGTCATGTTTCAGTTTACAAAGGAAAGTTAGATGTGACTTCTTTGGGGGTCTACCAGCTTTTCACCGTTTTTACTCCTGAATACTGTGATTATCACTGCACAACGTCTGGATGTGTAAAAGGAGAACTATGCTGTGTGTTTGCTGCGCTGGATGGTTCTTTTGAACATGTGTTGTTTGTTTTTTTTGGCTGTTACAAGCATGTTGTGTCACAGACGTAAATGATGAATGTTATCAGCAAAAGAGGCAGAAACGGCAGCAGGACTTTTCACTGTAGGGCGGGCAGTGGTGTGTGAAAGACAGGACAGGACAGGACAGGACAGGACAGGACAGGACAGCACAGCACAGCAGTGCTGGCTGGTCTCGTCAGGTGTGTGTCTGCTGCTCGTACACATGTGGACCCCGCTGTGCGTTGTCACCTGACAGTGTTTATAGTCAGGGTCTGTGTTGTCGCTGTCCAGCTGCGTGGTGCTGAAACACGCATTTCAGAACCACAAAGCTGGACAGCGACGCACGAGAATTAAAAGGAAGAAAACATGTTAATTGACTGTCCTGTAAATTACGGCAAGGTCTGTGTATAAAGGACTAAATTGTCAACAGCAGCTCAGCTTAACTTAACATGATTTCTGATGACAAACTCTTTGAAATCTGTGATGACAGTCAGGATATTTGTTTTATTATTTTGCCAGCGTGAGAAAGTGTCAGCACAAAGGAAACATTAGTCCTAAAAGCTGCCCTGATGTGACCTTTTCCCCATTTTCATTCGGGACATTTATTCTCAGCTTAAAAAGTCTAGTTTCATTATTAACACAGTTAATACAATACAAATTAAAATGTGGTCTCACTAAGGTGAGGGTATGAGATACCGGTAACACGATGAGCGGAACAACTTCTTCATCATGTTGCATCGTGTTAAAGCTGACGGTCGGACTGTGTGTGTAGTACGGACTCTTAATGGCTGTTAGAAAGAGCGTGTATGTGTGTGTTGAGAAAAGGTGGGACAGAAACTGAAGCTTTGTGTTGTAGAATTTAGGGCAGGTGGTATGTGTGAGTGTGTGTGTGTGTGTGTGTGCTTACTAGGAAAAAGGGTAAACAAAACAAAAGCCTGCAAAGAAGAAAAAGAACTGACGCTGTTGTGGTGTCGTTGTGGCACCACAAATATTTCTAACCTTGCGTGGATTTAAAAATAAAATGCCCCACAAAAATGCAATATCACGCGTGTTAAGAAGCGGTGGACAAGATGATATTTTAGTATGTTTGTGTACTTTCTCTGCGTGGTCAAAGTCTTGCAGGTTATACAAACACGTGTAGAGATTTTTACGGGTAATTGTTCACGAGTAAATCCACATTTTCCTCTTATTTTCAGCTTTTGGAACTGCGAGGACACGACCAACACATGAAGGTGGACTCTCAAAACGTCCGATAGGAGTGTGTGTGTCATGATATTTAATATTATCCGTTTAAACACACTTTGAGGGTACATTTTGCTGACTGTGTTACACCACACTAAAATGTATAGTATGTACAACATTGCTGGTAAAAATTTGTGTGCAAAACCTGGGTTCATATTACAGTCTGTAGTTCAATGTGTAATATTGATTTTGCAATAATGCCAGAATACAAAATCTGTAGTCAAAAGTATTTTTGTGAAGATAATTTTGTCAAAGGTGACATTTGGTAAATATATTTTATCTTGCAGAAATACATTCAATTCCATCTCGTTTGTGAGTGTTATACAAATTGCTGGTCGATACTCCTGGTGTCACGTTGGCTTCGGTCCATCCACTTGTGTCAAAGAATTCGAGCAGCTGCGTGATGACTGTCAGCATGTAGACACATTTTTATACTCCTGTCTCTCTGCTGAGTACATGGCAGGCTTTGTTTTCTGCCAGACAGACAAGGTTTGTCTGCATTTCATGTTTAGTTTGTGTGTGAGAGAGAGACAGGGAGCATGGCGGTGGAAGAGGTGTGTTGGAGACTAAAAAGGCTGTTTCAAGTATCCTTTCTGGGTCGGAGTGGGGAACAGAGAACACATACCGTTGAAGAACAACTCGTGACAGCTGGTTGTGCTGAAACATCCAGCGTCTGTAAAGACGACTGACTTATTCGTGCGCATGGAAATGTTTAAAAAACTGTGAAATAAAGCGATGGAAATTCACATGCCTGTCTTGGTGTTTATGTAACACATGTATCACATCTCACCTCCCTTTCCTCAACGTTTTGGATGGGGAAACTTACTACGATGGGCACAATCTCGCGAGATTCTGGAAGAGAAAGTTGGGCTGGGGATTGTAGTTTTTCTTTGTGTGGAGCCGGTACTTGCGCATGTTACAGCAAAAGCAAGTGTGGAAAAGTTATCTGGCGTAACATGACTGATTCTGTGAGCCAGGATGCCTCACTGCACCTGTGTTCACATTTGTTCGGTGGTTATCAGTAGTATGATGCAGACAGAATACTTAAAATAGGCAAGTGACTCATGTCTAGGTGGCAGTAGTCTGACCTCACAGACTGGCATCACTTTAACCAATAAACTGTTTCCAAACGTTCTCCAAGGGGAGGGTGGACGCACACATTTTTCACCAATGAGAGCATTCTTTCATTCATAAAGTGGTGTGGGCAGTTTTTTTCGGAAAGCGTGGGTTTGGAGGGTTTCATAATTCTGACTGAAACCGACAAACCTGTTTTGGCGAGAGCCAATGACAGACCCCGGAAGGGAGCTGCCGTAATGTTTGCCCAATCGCTCCTAGTCCCGGTCTCCGTTTGACCCACCCTGCTTCATACAGAAATTCGAATGAATGGGAGAAGCTCTGGACTTAATTGACAGGTAAACGCACCAACCGACTGGATGGATCAGCCGAGAAACAGCTACTCCAGCCAGTGCGAAGTAGATGGGGGCGGTGCAGAGTAGAAGGTGGGCGGTGCACTTTAAATCAGGCTAGACAAGTGTTGGGGGAGTGTGTGTGATGCTACAACCTCCTTATAAAGGGACTCTCTCTCACGTTGTGGCTTGGAAATTAGAGCACATTGCCTAAAATTGAGGTCTTCACATACACTCACACACGCCGAGTCAACGAGAGCCACTGCCATGGATTCGATGAACGCTAAGGAGATGTTTCGCCAGGCCGAGACGCCTCTCTTCTGGGTCGGCGCGTTCACAGTGGCCTCTCTGGCGTTGTGGTTGCTCTACAGGCTGCTCTCAGGCTTTAGGATCTGGGTCTTGGGAAATGGGCAGTTGCTTTCTCCGAAGCTGGGCAAATGGGCAGGTGAGTTGGGTGACAACAGTTTTCACGCACCTACATCACGGTCACGAAGAGGGCAGCTCAAAGTAGGCAGGTGGACTTGACATGCAAACACCAGAATTAAATTACTGAGCTCAAACTTGACTTTGGCACAAAGAAGAGCTGCATTCTGGTTTGGTTTTTTGTGTGTCTTAATTCATGGAGAGTTTGGTGTTGCGTAACAGGCACAGGTAAGCAGCTGATTGAATGACACGATAATGGTCTTTAATGGCTCAATGCGTTTTTTTTTTCTCGCGGCAAACGCAGCACTGTCTTCTGGCAGGGGCTCCAATCAGCGTTTTCACCCACATTTGGACCGGCAGGGGGATGCCCCATACTGGTGAGCCAGAAGCCAAATTGCGCAGGCAATGCGCACTTTTCAGAAAGCTGTTTTATGTGGGTGAGCTCTGAGCCAGCGCACTACTGAACCACATTAGCCCATCCGCATGATGTAGGACAAACCCATGCACTCATTTGTGACCTACATCTAGATCATTTTCATAGCTTTCGATTCCTCAATATATGTGGCATTGTGGTAGTTAGTCCAACATTTTGACACGTGTGTTATCCTTTATCACACTTTGTATGCTAAAATATTCAGGCGGTGTCTTGTCATGTTTTTTTGGTTGTAGTTTCTTTCTAATCATTGCTCTTTGCCATTACTTGCCCCATTCAGTATGTCCTACATGTTTGATTAGAATGGATCTGACTCTATATTGTGGTGTAATATTTTAACTTCCTTGGCCAAATAGAAGCGAATTACCACTCAAATCTATGGGTATTGTGGTTTTATTGAGTCTAGTCTCATAGGAATCGCCCTGCAACGGCTTGACCCACTTCTCCAGTCTCCCATATGGAGAGGAGTGCTGCGTCGGGAGCCTCTTGCTGCGCAATTTGCCGAGCGCTCCCCTTCGTATTGGGATAGGTTGATAATCTGCTCCCTTTCTTTCTAACACTGAAAAAGCAGGAGACCTGGGTTATTGGTTATTTGGATGCATGTTTTTTTTTTTAAACCCAGGTGTGTTTTTTTTAACACCGTGACGCACTTTACCTCTAAATCGTCGTTTTTATGAATGGGCAGTTTAATTGATGCCCTGTGCGCCATAAGAGGAAATGAAACGCATGACGCAAAGGTAGGGTGCCTTTAGGAGCGACTAGTGTGCATTTATTTTAGTCATTCTGTTGGAGTATGCGGAGGAATACCGGTGCACATCGATGACTCATTCGCTTGTTCATCGCTTTGTCATCCATTGGTTATATAGAAATTCTGATTGCCCCACCACCCCCAGTATCATGTCAGATCTAGAGGTTTTCCTTGTGGATTCTTCGAAACCACGAATGATTTCTCGGGGAGGTACTCCATGTGTCAATTTTTGTTGCAGTTAAATACCATTGTTAGCTGGTAGTACCAGATATGCAGGTCTGACCAGGTTAGGCAGTGGTGCGATTTATTTTTTTAAAGCACATAGACATACCTGGTGCAGCTCCCTGTGTCCACCTTTCCCTGAAGGACAGAGGCACCTGTTGCTACAAGTTAAACCTTCTCTAACCATTTAATGGGAATTATATCACTCTTTATTTTAATGCACATTAAGCAATAAGAGAGCGAATCCTGAGTGATAGCACCTTTGTAGGAACACATTCTGAAACGTGTAGCTGTGGAAATTTCACAGTAAATCAACATTATTTAATCTTAAATACCCATTTCATTTCTGTTGTAGCTCGATTTAGCAGTTATCAAGTTCATGTTGACGTGACGACAGTATTGGCTAGTCAAACAACCACACTACACCAGACTTTGGGAAATGATGCCAGAATGCCATTTTATTTTACCCAGTGCTTCTAGACTGAAACGATTTCTAAGAAAAATGTGTTGAGTTGGACTTGACTCTTCCTTTAATTGTGCTTTTGCAATCTGCACGGCTGCTATTGCAACCGGCTGCTATTGATCAGCAAGGACTGATCACAAGATATAATCCTTCTCCTTTTTGTATGGCCATGTATTTAATGTTTAGTCTTTATTTCTTTGGTTTTAGGAAAGTTTACATTATCACAGCTCATATTTGTGCCTGTGCTGGGCTGAGACACTGCAGCTCTCACATGCAGAGCAGGAAT